CCAATTTTTTATGAATGGCTTCTCTCAGTGTCACACTGAATTTGCTCAGTCGAACAATGTGTATCCACCAGTGAACTGGAGAGGAAAGTGCTAAAGCTAGATGGGGAAGCCGTCCTAAGATGGTACTTCCTTTCCTACTTTCCTCCTCTTAGAAGGAGGCTTTTTTCCTGTTATTTGTGTTTCTGTTGTCCTGTTTGTGTACGTGCCTACGCTGCATTGCATTATCCTTACACCTCTGCCTCAGACTGATACCCCATTGCCCTCAGCTATCTGTGTGAGACAGGGCTTCTGTCCATCATATGTCCCCAGCATGTTAAATTTAGTTACCCATTTGTGGCCACAAAAAAAAAAAATCAAAAAAGGATTAACTCTTCTGGCTGTCAGTGTGAATACTTTTATACGTACAAACTTCCTTTGTCTCCGGTGGGAAGAAGCCTCCATACATCTCAAAAGAGCAAAGAGTCAAGTCAGTAATAGCAGAATCAGGTTTGGCTCAGGTCAGGTAGTTCTCACAGGATCTGATGGTCACCTGAATATCCTCTGATCCCCTTCACTTAATGATGGTGGTGGCAGCAAAGGGTAGTGGGTAGAGCATGGGATAGGGGGTCACAGAGACTTGGGTCTGTGTCCCAGTCTGCTGTCAACGGGTGGATCAGGGCAGTGCCACTTGACTTGAGTGTGCTTATGTGTCAACCCCAACATCTACAGAACAACTCGTGTCTCTAAGGAGAGGAGGGTGTGGGTGCTGGGAGGAGAACTGTGGTTAATCAGGGCACCCCTGTCTCAGAGCTGTGGGATCCCCAGCTGGGGTTTGACTCACTGTCTCCAGGGGAAGGATTTGATCCTGCCCTTCAGAATGCTCCCTCTTTGGGGAAGAGGCAGTGGGATGGACAGAGAGGTGTTGGATACCTGCTGTGAGCTGTATTAGGGGTGTGCTGGGTAAGTGAAGACCAGTCTGTCTGTGACTGGAGGAATCTCCCTGCTTTGATTTACCTCAGCCCAGGCTCTGCAGGGAGCAAGGCTACGTGGAAAGTGGTCTGTCACCACTTTGTAGCCAGCCGCCTCATTTAGTGCAATAAGATTATTTATTTTGATGCATAATTACATGGCTTGATACTTTAGTCAGCAATTAATTAATCCTAATTGGATGTAAATTAATAAAGAACACAGTTTGTCAAATTCAGTTTGCTCTTACCCAGTTCCACTCTTCTGGGAGCAAAATGGAAGATATTGGCCCCAACCCAGGATGGCGGTACTGTCAGCATGAGGTCCATAGCCAGTGCTGGCTACTAGGTATAGCAAAGCTCTTGGGGTGTGTGTGTGGGTGTGTGTGTGTGTGTTACACCTTCTTGTTCTTAAGCAGTTGTTCTTGAGAAGAGGTGTTCTAGGGGATACTTACTTACGAGAAGATACCTGCTTATGAGAAATGGATCGATGACCTAATACTGAGAAAAGAAGGAAATTAAGATAGGAAGGAGAAAAGTGAAACAATCCCTTTCCATATTTAATCACTGCAGAAAAACCAGTCATTGTAGGTAAAATCTGCCTGGCCAGGAGACATTAGAACAATGTTATGCTTTATCCTTCCATGTGTCATTTTGTTATTATAGCAAACCTTTTCTATATTACTCTTTCCTATGAAGTTCAACTCAGATGATAGTATCATGTCCTAAATGTGGTTCATATGCAGCAAGAATAACTACTAGACCCCCTCAGCTCCAGCAATCTCGAGATTACACTGACAGGGTGTGAAAAGGGATAGAGGGGGAAGAAGAGTTTTCTGTTTCACCACTGGGGAAGTGGGAATATAATATGTGCTAAATGACATGCAGTGAGCAGTGTCATGGCATGACAATATTCATTTGTCTAGAGCCAGGGTAGGACATATCTTACCAAACTTTACCTCTTTAAATGTGGGCTGTGTTGTCCAGATGAGTAGTGACAGTTAATAGAAAGAGGGATTGAGGCACATGTTAGGTGGGAATGACTTACCCTCCTGGAAATGCTGATCTCTGGTGATGACAGGAGGAGCCCACAAAACCCACCTAAACTAAACATCCCAGCATTCCAACAGCTCACATGAGGGGAGCTGGAGGCCTCCTGCCCACGTACACTTGCTTACCCCTCAGGAAAGAAGGGGTCAAAGTGGGACAATTGAAGCAACAAGATGAATGGAAGAAGATGCCTGTTTTGGAAGCAAATGCAGGTAGGATATTTCTGCTCTACAGCTACTATTCTAGTAATACCTGTGTAGTCTCAGCCCTGGTAGCTTGTCTGTGTGTCATATGTTAAATGATCAAAGCAGTGCTCCCACATTTCCTGTGGAAAATTGTGAAGGCAATCAGCACACACAGAGCTCAGTGAATCAGATGTGTCCTGGATGCACCAGGCATCCAGCAGGCAGCTGATGTGGGTATGAACAGTGGTGCTTTGTAGGGGATTTCTGGGCATCAGGCAGCCTGCTTAGGGCTTCTGCTCCAGCCGAGCTGCTGGACACAGAACATCTCAGACAAAGGTCGTATTTCTTTTTCCATTCCAACAGATTTGTAAAAGGATGGCTATACAAGGCATTCAAATGTAGGACAGGATTTTGTAAAGTAATTTAATATCCTTGTATGCTAAAGGACCCTTAATAATTTAGTTTTCAAGGGACTGATTTCCCTGATTGCAGAGCCCAGCATTAATCTTATTCTGCATTCAACAACTCATCTATGGAGACTATTCTTGCAGTATTTTGTAGGTGTCTCTTCTTATTTAATCTGTCTTCCAGATCAAAGCTCTTCAGAAAGAATTTTCCATGTTAGTTGTGAGATATTAAAAAATAAAGTAAAATAAAACAAAAGAAATCCAACTTTAAGAATGTAAATTTTCTGATCAAGTCTGAAAATCAGCTCCACTTGTGTGCATTTCCAAAATGTATCACTGCAGTGCCATTCATCTAAAGCAAGAAGGGAAGAAACGTCAGCAAAATTCACTAGATTCATAGAGTCAGTGAACAGATTCATGGGCAGTCTATGGTAATGGCAAGTTTGCAGGGGCTATCAAAACTCTTTATACATCAAGCTAAAAAAGGACAAAGAAGCTGAAAAGAATGATTTGTGCTTTGAACCAGAGGGTGGTCAAGACCACTCCACCAGAAGAGGGATGTAATCTTGTAAAAATACGTAGTTACCCTCACAGTCTCTCTCAGACAGGTACAGCTATTACCGAGGATAAAAATTGATTGATCTGTAGTACTTGGATAATGTAAGTCTTTTTCATTTAAATCTACATTGGACCATTGGACCTGAGGACACTTGGAAGAGTAACAAAACTGCCGAGTAGAGCTGAAATAAACCCAAATGGCCAAACTCAATTATGAATTGTCGTGTAGAGACAACCCCATCCAAATGCATTCTAACACCTGACACATCCTAGCCATGGACTCGGTTTGCATAGCAAAGAACAGAGCTCTGCACAGAATACAGGCCGTGCTGTGAGTGGGAGGGAGCTGCAGCCTGGACGTTGGTACTCTGGGGACAATGAGACTATGTGCTGAGACAACAGGCAGCAGTTAGTGTATGATTTATGTGTGCACACGTGAGAAGATGAGACTAGACCTCTTGTCCTTCAGCTGATGGCACACTCACGGGGAGCACATCACCACTGTGCTGTGTGTTTGCTATTAGGCTGCAATAGTCCTTTTTTTT